CAAAAATAGATTTGAATCAGGCAGTGCCAAACTGGAAGTGGTTAGGAGCACTCTGCCGACAGGAGCTCAGGGAGAGAATTTATAGAGAAAAGGCAGAAGCAGAGTAAGGAAATTATTGATTAGCTATAGCGTAAAGCGGAGTTGGCTGTTTGTGATTGGTTGTCCTTAGGTTTCAATTTCATAACCTTGAGGCATTTACTGGCTTAGATTTTGGTTTGCTAATGTAGGCAGCCATGGCAGTAGAGCCACCTCAGTCTAATGGCCTCCTTGTTTAATTTAGCAAAAAAAAGTGGGTGTATTGATACCCCAAAGAGTCTAAGGATTTCACAGAGCTCTGCGTAGATCTCACTCAGTCCATTTCTTCAAAGAGGGGTCTGAATCTGTAAGTGCTCAAAGAATACTCTTTTAGACTAATCTGGATGTTACTATATCAAAAGGAGAGAAAAGCATCAAATTAAGAGCAGCATGGAAATTTATAGACATTCAGTCCAAGTCCCTATTTTACGGATTAAAAAACAACAACAACAGAAAGGTAAGTTGACTTGGTTAAAGGCAAAGAGGGTCAGAGTTTGAGTTTGTTTAGACACTTAGACAGCAATGATAAGGTCTAGACAGAGAGATTACACTATTCGCCAGAGAATCTACGTAAATGTGTAGAAGAATGCTGGAAAAACATTGATTAAAAAAAAAGAAAGTATCTATCAGCATCAGAATTAACCACAAGGCTTACTGAAATGCAGAATCCTGGGCCCCTGGCTGGCTGTACTAAATCAGAAGGCTCTAAGATATAGGGCCCAGGAATTTGAATTTTCACTAGCCCTCCAAAGACATTCTTATTCACAACTGAGGCTAAGGAACTTCATTCAATCTCAGCATCCCCCATGCACAGCACAATTAATTAAAAATTCAAATTAATTGATGAAATTTAAACAACATGCACTGAGTGTATGACAAAAAAGAACAATTCCCTCAAAAAGTTCTTATTCTGGGCCTCGTGTGTATGACCTAACGAAAATGCCAATATCCGGCCTGATCTGGGCCTTCTCTAGTAAACAGTCCTGGCTTGGCCCTCTGACCCACTATTTTTCCCTGCAATGAATGAAATCTAAAGTAGGTAAATTCTTTTGCTATCTACAGCTGTCTCAACGGCATGTACAATTCTTCCCTGTTTTGTAGGACTTTGCAACAAAACTGCCTGAGGTCCTCTCTTTGAAATTCATGTGGGAAAAAGGCCTAAAGGGGGACATTCTAGATATTCAATTGTTCAGGAAATTTGTAAACACTGTTTGCATGAAAGACAATTTATACACGATCAAGTTGGAATTTCAAGACAAAGTTTTCCAAATTTAAAAAGAATTTTAAGAGCTAACAATAGTAAAGAAAAATCGCAAGAGGGTAAAATCTTATAACAAATTCCTCCCAAAATGTTCAGTTGGCATTTCGGTACTCCAAAATCACTAACCAATTTTCAATATCCCCTCCCCACAAAAATTTTTTCTAAGACTCACTTCAATAGCTTCAGACTGACACAATGACTGGAGCACGAAGCAGGGCCTAAAATGGTCTGAGATTCTATCATGCAAATGGCAGGAATGCTAACTTTTGCCCCCAAAGAACTCTCAATGTGATCAGAACTCCTTTTATAGAGCCTGCCCCTGATATACAGGCTAACAACACAGCCTTTGTGTGTTGAAGGAAAGACAGTAGTGGTTGGGGAAACTCTTCCGAAAGAGAAGAGTTACAACATTTCTTGGTCAGCTTTTTATAACATGCGTGAAATGATAAATCCCTTCCATACTCAAGGCTAGATTAGTGTTGTGTTTTCTCTAATCAAGAGAATGAGATGGGTGGAGGGAACCACACTGGTTGATTGTCAACTGTGCATCAGATGGCCTCATGTTTTACACACAACTAAGTCTTCCAGCAAAGTTTTGAGGTAGACACCCTCATAGGAAAGACTTGAAGGTTAAATCAGTACCAAATAATGTAAAATATACAATCCTCATTTTACGTTTGAGGAAACTAAAGCTCAGAGAGGCAAAATAATTTGCCAATGTTCCATAGCCAGAAAAGGATGGGACAGCATGGAGACCGTGTGCCATGATTTGCACTTGTCATGCTCTCTCACTCTATCATACCGTCATACAAATTTTTCCCTCAGACTGGAATCCTCTTTCTCAGCATTTCCTCTTGGCAAACTCCCATAAAACTGGAACCTTCAAAACTGGAACTAAATTTTAACTCATTTGAGCCTCTTCTGGTTGATATTTAGCACTCCTCAACTCCCAGCATTCCCTTTTCTCCTTATCAGACCTCTTATCGCTCTGCTATAATTACTCACGTGACCTGAACTATACTATGAATGCTTGGAGGCAGGAACCTGCCCTGTTTTCCTTTGCATTCCTCTATCAGGGCATTCTACGTATAACAAGAAGTCAAAAAATGTTGAGGAGGAAGTCAAACAACTAATGTAATAGTTATGAATGGATATGATATGGCTTCAAGAGTTGCCTCTCTTTTCTCCTTTCTTGCTTCAGACAAATCAGTTTGAAAATGGTCATCTCGAGTGTAACTCTGAGGTCCACACAAAGAGCAAAAGGTACACATAGAAACGTATCTTGGATATAGACGTGAATTCTAATTTCTACTAAAGCAGCCTAAAATCATATCAGCTTTCTGGGCCCTTACAACTCACTGCTGACTCAGAGAAAACACAGTCAATTAAACATGAGGTTGATGGTTCAGTTAATTACAACTTCCTCATCTTGTACTTGCTTATTTTTCAAACACCCAGGTATAGGTCTTCACATTTTTCCAGGTAAAATTCCATCTTCTTCAAAGGGAAAGAGGAGGGAGGTCACTGTTGAAATACAATTCCTACCATTTTTGACTATTGAGTTGCAGACACTGTGCTACTTACGCTATGTGCATCACTTCATTTGCTCTTCATAATGACCTCAGGCATTATTATTATCTGTATACTAAAAAGGAGGAAAATGAGGCTTGGAGACATAAATAACTTGCCCAAGACCAGAGCTAGAAAACAGAGACAGATCCACCAGTCTCCAAAACTCAAGCTCTTAATCACTGCACTGCACTGCTATTGTGGGGTGGGGGTGGGGCCCAGCATGTAAGGACACCCTCTGGAAATGAGAGCAAACTCTAGAAGGCATACTTCTCTAGAGCAGTGATACATAGCTCTAGACATAAGGATTTGCCTTTTATAGAAGAGTTCAAAGGGACCAGAATGTCCATTACGACCAAAGACAAGCTCCTCATTTTGAGGACAAAAATGACACACATATGTTAAGGGACTTGCTGGGACCCCAAAGTTAACTTGGGAACTTGCCAGGACTTCAAAGCTGATCCGGTACTAGAGCTCAGGGCACCGATGCCTTTAGTCCTGGTCCCCACCTCATCTCCCTGCCTACAATTCAATCTAGAGCAGAACTGAATCTAAAAATACTAACAACTGGGAAAAATAACTATACTTTCAGAACAGAGCCCCAGAGAGATGTTCTTTATAATGCACTAACAGAATTATTAATGAGATGCCACATATTGTGAGTAACATTATTAAATAACAGAAAGAATAAGTGAATTGTGAAGCCACAAAGATATCGGAATGCAGCAACTTTGAAATATTCCTAATAGCATTATTTTCAAGGTTCCACGAAGTTATTTCATAACTTAAATACACTTCTATTCCAGCTGGCCTCTATTAAGTAGAACCTTAGACTTCTAAAGCATTTACTTCATTGGGTAGAGACTATCAATGTAAGATTTCACACACAGGGAGAAGCTTAACAGTTGATATTTTGTTGATAAAATAATTATAATTTTAAAATATCTTTCCCAAAAAGAATTCAACAGAGTCCCAAGTTTTGCGGTTTAAAAAAATAGCCATTTTACTACATGGACAGTTTCCCTTTTGCCTCCAACCCTTCTCATTCTTTACAGAAAACACTATTGGTACATTTTAATTTTGAATTGGAACCAAAGGAAGGTTAGGAACAAAAGTCACAAGACCAAACTAACCACAAATACTTGCATGACAAAAGTGGGTGCTTTCCTCACCCCTGGTCTTTAAGGGGTGAGAATCAAGGAGGGTGGAGGGCAACCTCACTGGGTGTAGGGGGCCTGGAAAGGGAGGGTGGGTAGGGAAGGGGATGAAAGAAACAAAAGTTTCTAAACCCTTTCTGTAGGAAAAAATATTCCCAACAGGTGACCTAGTCTCCAGTAGGTGACCTTGTCTCCAACAGGTGACCTTGAACTCATTTAGCATAAAACTGCGAGAGAAAGGGAAAAAAAGGTAACCTTGCTATATAGCCACGTTCTGTTTGGATCTTAGTTAACTGTTTAGAAATATACACAAAAATGCTCTAGTGAATGAGGAGAGTGGAATAAGGAAGCACCTGTCCCGGAAGTGAATATTCCCAGTATTTCATCTTCTCCAGATTTTTGTCAGAGCAGACATCTCCCCTCCCCCCCGACCCAGCTTTATTTTCCTGCCCCTTGTCCAGCTTTACAAGTGGGAAAAGTCTTGTGACAGCTGGCTTTATGCCTGGCTCGGCCGCAGGTGCGCGGCAAGGAAAGTTTTCACCGGATCTCCCCGCCCTGGACAGCCCGCAAGCTGTCACAGCCGCGCCAGCCCGAGTCGTTTTCCCAGCTACTGAGCTCAATTTTGAAATTAATTCAACCGACTCTCGTTCCTTAGAAGTCCAACTTCGCAGTCTCAAGAAACGCTCTCAATGGTGAATGGCGGGTCCCTAAAAGTCTCAGGGGGCAGACGCCTCCCAGGGCCACAGGTGGGAATAGGAGGCCCTCACCAACCGCCCCCTCTCCCGCCCCCTCCCCTGACCGGAAAGGACCAACGTGTCCGATGAGCGACTTCTGTCACTACGGATGCGACATCTGGACAAGAGTTTGAAGAGAGAATTTTCCACGTGCAAGAACTTGGAGCAAAAGAAGAGGTCATAGCAACTGCTACACGCGCTCACCTTCCTTCCCCGCCCCTCAGTATCCAAACGCCGGGCCTGCGCGTTTTCTGAGGGCGGGAAGCCGGGCGGGCACCAGCCCGGGGCAGCCGGTGACCCAGCGCCCGGGACGCGGAGCCTGAGCCCAGCCCGGGGGCGCCCGCCTTACCCGAGCCCCGAGCAGGGAGCAGCAGGGGCCTGGCAGTCTGGCAGAAACAGCGGTTGAGCAGAGGGGCGGCCCTTCTGGGCAGTGGGGACCAGCCCCGGCCCCGCCCCGCCCCGCCCCGCCCCCGCCCCAAGCCCCACCCCGCCGCGCCCACTCCCGCCTGGCCCCGCCCCGCCCCTCGCTCGCCAGGCTCCCTCCGGCTGCCGCCGGCCCGCCGGTCCCTGCTTAGCTCCCTGGCGTGGCTGCTGAACCTGCCGGCCCGCAGCCTTCGAGGTGGCCTGTCCTTCCAGGGCTGAGAGTTCGAGGTCAGGTGAGGAAAATCAAGGGAGGCCGGGCGGCGCACCCTCGGCCCCGGACCCTGGCAGGGCCCTTTGAGATGAGAAGGCATGAGAGGAAGTTCCCCTCAAGACTGCATCCGCCTAGCAGGGGACAGTGAGATTCGAGGGTCTAGAATGGGGCGGGGGGGAAACTCACCATTGAAATCGGCCTCCTAACCTGCTTTGAGTCGGCCAAGTACCGCGACGGACCGAGTGGTTTAGAAAAATGTGAGGAACAGTGTGTCTTCTCAGTTATTTTACTTTCCAGTCCATACCCTCTGGGCAGCCTAGTCGTGAATGCTAAGACTCCCGGAAGCAGGTGGGGAGAAATTCTAAACACTGGCTTTTCACTGATACCTAGCTTCCCAAATACTAAGGATATTTAGTAAGAGCCTAAGTTTTAGGTCTCCTCTGGGGTCAAAGTTCGCATGTACCCCGAATCTTCCTGTGTGAAATCCCTTTGACTGGGACACTCCCCTCACCTTCTCCATCCTCTGCCTGGTCAGTTTCTGTTCTTGGTTCCCTTGGAAGCTCATGTCCCCCATGCAGGTTAGGTTTTCCTGCTGTTCACTCTCAGGATACTTCAATTCCTCTGTCATGACACTTGTTAGACTTAGTGCAACTGCTTGTTGCATTGGCCTCCCCTCCTTGACTGTCAGCTCAAGCATATAGTAAATACATAATAAATATTGTTGAATGATGACATGCGTGTAACAGTCGACTGTTAAGATTCCCCCAGGCCCCGGCTCTTTAATGAATTTCTCACTTATCGTCGCCTCTAAGTCTGCAGGATCTTATTTCAAATATTCCCACTCCTACCCCATTCCCAAGTCTTCATCCTACCTCTTGGGCAGATTCTTCTTCAGTCTCTGTAGAGGTGCGGCGTGGAAAAAGCCCTAGACTTGGTTCCTCTTGTCTGAGCTCTTCTGTAACTAGTTCTGTTGTTTTTAAAGGCCCTCAATCTCTCTGGGTCTCAGATCAGAGCGCTTGATATTTTTAGGGCCTGCGCAAATGGAAAGAAAGGAAAAAGGAAAAAAAGAACTTTTAGGTTGAAGAAAATGTTATAATATATAATATTAATTTATTGGTCTTTATACCAATGCAATTGTTGACAGTGGTGAACTTTACCCAAGCCCTGCAATTCTAGAAAACAGTAAGAGTTAAAGAAATCTTCCCACCCCTTTGTGTTCTGGAAATGGTTTACTGCAAGGAATCATCCATCCCCAAATGAAATAGATAAGAGGTCCTGATAAGACTTACCTTGTTTATCAATGACCAGACTGGCCACAGACCCTCCAAATTCTCATTCTTTGCTTCATAAATGATTAGCTGATTTGTTTGTGCTTGCTAACCAATCTGAACAAGATACCCGCTACCTTGACTTGACCAAACTTTAGTTAGTCTTCTCTCTTTCTCCCTAGACCTCAACGTTGACCCATCCTCCCTCAGCCTGAGCCAGAATACACCCCTCCTTGACAGCCCACCTGACAATAGGCTGGCCACCAGGTAAAACTTTCTCTTCTCTGCCATAAGATCATGCCACTCTAACTCAGCCCTCTTCCCCACATCCTGTCCTCTCCAGCATTGTGTATTGCTTCCTAGAAAAGAAAAGACCTTTTCTGCCTAACCTTTGAAAGGCTTACGGATCTAAGGATCAGAGCTTTCTTCCTCATGTAGTGCCCCCTCCCCACTGCAATAGTCCCTTATAAAATCTTTTTGAATAAAGTCTCTCCTTTCCTCATTCTAATTTGTTTTTATTTGACCTCATAAAATATAATTTTTATGGAGGAAGGGGCCCCCAAATGCGAAAGTGCCTTGTCTCAGATTCCTGTCTGTAAAATAGAAAAGTTGGATTAGGTAGATCAAGATCATTTTTGGCTCCAAAACTAATGAATTCAGAAGGAGAATTTCCAAAGAAGTCAAATCAGACCATATAGGCCTCAGCAAGAAGAGCAAGCTGGCCACTGAGAGCCAAACTGGCCACTTGGAAGTGTTTGATTTGGCTAGCCTGGTATTGTTACTGTTATTTTTTAAATTGAGTTTGAATGTCACAGGCCTCTTCACTCCCTGTAGTCTTCACCATTTTTATTACCTGTGTGGCCACTGAAGGCATTTAAATTTGTGTTCCTAGAATACTTTTGTGCTCTCAGAAAAGAGCCTTGAATTACCAAAATGTCTCCTCCCTTTCCTCCCACCACATGGATAGCGATAGCTGTTAATCTCTATACTATAGGATTCAGGTGTTTGAACAAAAGGACAAATATTTCGTTCATAGTTGAAATGTGTTTCTGTGATAAGATGCTATCCAGTGCAATCATTTCTCCTTTTTAAGCAGTGAAAGATTTTTACCAAATAAAATAAATATCCCTGGAGGGTATATGGTAAATTAACTTCAAATCAGAATAGAATCTCTGACATAATATAATACAAAAATGAATAGAAATAATGCATAAGGAAATTAATTTGGCCAATTCTGTGAAATAATAAATAATAACTTGTGATGCTTTTAATACATGTCCAAAAATTCTGTGATACTCCTCCCTTTGATGGAGCCTAATTCGCCTCCCCTTGAGTGTGGGCTGTACTTAGTGACTGGCTTCTAACAAATAGAATTGGTAGAAATTATGGAGAGTAACTATCAAGTGTACATCATAAAATGACATTGTAGCTTCCATCTTGTTCTCGCTGTTTCTTGGATCACTCTCTCTGAAAGCCAACTAACATGTTGTTGGGACATTTGAGCAGTTCTATAGAGGCCCATGTGGTTAGGAATGAAGCTTCTTGCCAACAGCTGTCAAGGAACTGAGGCCACCTGATATGAGAATACCATCTTTGAAATGGATCCTCCAGTCTCAACTGACATCTTGACTGGAACCTCATGAGAGACCCTGTATCAGAACCACGCAGTTCAGCCACTCTTTAATCCCTGACCCACAGATACTCTGCAATCATAAATGTTTGTAGTCTTTAAGCAGTTGTTTTGCAGTGTTTTGTTACATAGCAATAGAAAACAAATACAGAATTTATTCAGGAAACTTCCATGATGATGATGTGCTAAAGATGATAATACTAATAATATCAGGCATTTTAGAGTTTTCTGCATTATAATGCTTTATCTATCTTCCAAACCCCTTTTGATAGCCTGAACTATGTAGGCATTTATCCTTCTTAACTATCCAGTCTTTGCTCCTCTTTCCTATGTTTGGAGAATTCTCACCTTCCTTATGAGGCAGAACCTGTGTCTTCCTTGGAGAAGCTGCAAAACAGTACCATTGTTTACTGTTTGATGTTCCATTATACACAGGACACGAACACATGTTCTATGGTTGTGCCAATCAGATTCACAGCCCCAGACAAAATACATCCTGGTGAGGGAGATGGCAGCACCACAGCCATATCTGGTTTCCAGAGGCAGCAGTGCAGTGCTTCTAGCAGCTGCATCCAACCTCTGGCAGCAGAGGTGTCAGTTTCTGTGCCTAGTGCTGATGGCAGCCATGCCTCCGTGGTACCAGTGCTGCAGTGTGATTTTGGACTTTGTCATGACTGCATAACATCCAAATTTAGTTTTCCATTTCCCTAGAGAGATCCAATATCCTTTTATAAAATCATTTTATGCTTAGATTATCAAGTATTGCTTTCTCTTGCACACAACTAAAAACCCTGACTGCTACCGGCAGATACTATCTCCATTTTACAGATGAGAACATTGTAAATGTTGTGTTACTAGATACAAGTAGCAAGTGATAGAGTTGGAATATATTGATTAGTACAGATTGAACTAAGCAAACAAACTTTTAAATTTAGCATTTAAAAGATAAAGGGTTTAGATACTTTAATAAATAATGTTTTTCTTTAAACGAGATGAAATGCTGGATCTCTGCCCTGATCCACATATTAAATTCCAAGCTTATGGCACTGAACCCTTTACTGCTGCAGAAATGGACTATGCTCTTCTAAGCTTCCTTGATATTGCACAGATACTTCTTCCTACAAATACTTTTCTCTCTCCATCCCTGCCTCCAGCAAATTTAATCAATTTGCCTCTTCTAACTTCAAAACCCAGGTTTAGTGATGATTCCTCTTTGCAGCATCTTCTGAGCCCTCAGGAAGAAGTAATTGTTACCCACTCCTAATGTTCTCCCAGGGTTTTGTTTCTATCCATGATGAAATACTTAATAAGCCCCTTTACCTATCTGAACAACCCCACCCCAGCCCAACAAAAGAAAGAGAAAGACTCCAGACTCTGCCCAACCAATGGAGAGAATCCTGAAAAATAAGGAGATAGGACAAAGTCTACTTATTAAACAGGGGCCTCAGTGCTTAAATGCCATCAGCTATAAGAATGCTGGCAAGTAGGCATATAATCCCATGCAGAACACTGGAGACATTTTCTCAAAAGAAAATGGGATGATTCTAGAAAAAGTTCTCAAGAAAAATGACATTTGCAAATTTCTCTTGTAAATAGATGAGTACCCATCTAACTGTGAAGGTCACTACTTGACAAGTCCAGCTGTTACACAAAGAATGTCCACTTGAATTTGACTGCCTTACTTTTACATTTTAATAAGAAGTAAAGGATCACCAGAATTATGTAGAAAATCTCCAATATGAAAGAAATTAAAATGTATAAATTAGAAAAGGGAAAAGGAAGAAACAGAGACAATTCAGGGAACAGAATAAAATTTTAAATAAGAAAGCATTATCAGGGAGAGGAGAAGCTGAATCCATTAAACAAGATTAAGAAACTTTTTTTTTTTAAGATTGGCACCTGAGCTAACAACTGTTGCCAATCTTCTTTTTTTTCTTCTTCTTCGCCCCAAAGCCCCCCAGTGTATAGTTGTATATTCTAGTTGTAAGTGCCTCTGGTTGTATTATGTAGGATGCTGCCTCACCGTGGCCTGATGAGCGGTGCCATGTCCGTGTCCAGGATCTGAACCAGCCAAACCCTGGGCCGCCAAAGCAGAGTGCGCGAACTTAACCACTCTGCTACGGGACCAGCCCCTAAAACACTATATGTTTTAAAAAGAAACAAATAGAGAATGAATATTTCTTTGGAATTAAAGCAATGCTAAAAATGTATACATTTCAATAGAAAGATTAAAAAATAAAGTTAAGAAAATCTTTGTGCAAGTAAGTAACAAAGATAAAGAGATTGACAATGGGAAAGAAGAAAAAACTAGATCAATCCTGGAGTTTCAACACTTACCAATCACTCCCCTAAGAGACAACAGAGAAAAAGGTAGGCTGGGGATGACTGACCAAAGAAATAACAGAAGGAAATCTAATAGAAATAAAGAACATAAATTTCCAGGAAGAAAGAGCCCACTAAGTGCCCAGGGAAATAAAAATAAATCTTATGCAGATGTTTATTGCAGCTTTATTCATAACCAGAAATAACTCAGATGTCCTTCAGCTGGTGAATATACAACCTGACGTATCTATATGTGCACCAAGGGAAAGACTCAATATTGTAAAAATTCTCTTCAAACTAATCTGTAAAGTTGGTGTAATCCCAACCAAAATTCCATCAGAAATTTCTATACAGATTGACAAACTGATTTTAAAATTATGTGAAAAGGCAAAAGAACTAGCATAGTCAACAATTTTGAAAAAGAAGAACAAATGTAGAGGATTCACATTCTCTGATTTCAAAACTTACTATCAAACTACAGTGATACACTATACTACAGTGGTAGTGGTGAAAGGACAGACATACAGATCATTGAAACAAAACAGTCCAGAAACAGACCTGCACATAAATAGTGTCAACTGATTTTTTTTAAAAAGATGCAAATGCAGTTGAATGGAGAAAGGATTGTCTTTCCAACAAATAGTGCTGGAACTGTTGTCATCCATACATTGAATCAATGAATGCACTTCAACCCTTATCTTGCGTCCTATACAAAAATTAACTAAAAATGTATCATAGATCTAAATGTAAAACATAAAACTATAAATCTTCTTGAAGAAAACATAGGAGAAAAATCTTTGTGATATTGGGTTAGGCACAGGTTTCTAGATATGACATCAAAAAGTATGACTCATAAAAGAAAAAATTGAAAAATTGGATGTCATCAAAATTAAAGACTTCTGGTATATGAAAAGCACTGTTAAGAAAAAGTAAAGAAAAGCCACAGACTAGGAGAAATTATTTTCAAATTATATATCTGATAAAAGATTTGTATCCAGAATATAAAATGAACTCTCCAAACTCAGTAATAAAAAAACTAAGAACTAAATTAAAAAATGCCGAAGTATTTGGCCATTTCACCAAAAAAAATATTACAGATGGAAAATGAACACATGAGACACATGTTCAACATCAATCAGTTATTAAAGAAGTGAAAATTAAGCCACTATGGGGTATCACTAAACCACTATTAAAATGGTTAAAATTTAAAAAAAGAGAAACTGTTGATGACAAATGCCAGTGAAAATACCAAAAACCTAGAAATTCTCATACAATGATAGTGACATTGGAAAGTGGTTTTGAAACTTTGGAAAAT